AAAGAGAGTGCTCGACCGGAACAACGGCCAACAAAGACCGTAATTACATAGATAACTGCTCCTCCCTTTCCTTTAAGGCTTTAAGGGAACCCCGTATGGCGGCCGGAAAGAAAGACGACCTCACCTTCTCGTAGATGGTGTCAGTGAGAGCAACTTGAGTATCCCCCGTTGACCTTCTTTTGTAGATAGAATCTTCAATGAGTGGAAACCACTTTAAAGGTGCGCTTGTTGAGTAAGGCCGTTTTCTTGCAGGAGTGCTAACGCGCGCCCTTATTCTTCGCTTGCTCCGCAGTACGAGCCTCATACAGAGCTGCGCCCCTTTAATATGATGAGGAGAAGAGGGGCCGCCCTCTTTTCTGCACCAATCTTTATTTACTACTATATTTATATATTTGGGGTGTATAGCTCAGTTGGTAGAGCATTGGGCTTTTAACCTAATGGTCGCAGGTTCAAGTCCTGCTATACCCAAACAAACCTACCTTACACTATACCTATAAATGAATAAGGATGCGTAGTAACGTTCAAAGATCACTCTTTGGCCTTTAGACTCGCTTCAGCGACTTCGCCCTTTAAGTGAGAAGGGGGTGAGGTAAGGAGTAGTATAAGAGTGGCTCGGTCATCAATAGGCCTCTCCTTATTTGATTCATTCTATAGGGCGGGGCTGCAGACCAACAATCCAGCAAAAGGGCTTAAAAGCTCCTTTATCAAACCTTCCCCTTTTCATAATAATAAGGTAAGCATCAAAGCCCAGCAAACCCAACCTATACAAAGAGCTCTTTTCAGCCCCTACTCCTAACAAGTGTGAAAGTTGCTGGCACCCACCATACCTTGCTTGCTTCGGGGCCGATCTCTTGTATCGAAGCAAACATATATATATATTTTATTGATGGAGTTTGTTCCACCACAAATCGATTTTGCCGCATGGATTGGATAAAGTCCCCTGATCTCGACATCCAAGCACGAATCCCTTTTTTGCTCTTTCAAAAAGAGAAGAGCTTCGCCGGAAGAGAAGAGGACCGCTCGCTTCACTTGTGTATCCCTTTGGTATACAGGTTGGCGGTTTTTCTTTAAGAGCACTCAATTCTACAGACATCTTATGATTCCATTAATGTCAAAAAATCTTTTTTTCATTTTTAGAAAGTCGTTACTACTCATTTTGGTTGGTCTTGATAGGTCAGAGCATCCGGTCTGCTGGACCTTTCCTGGCTTGAAGAAATCCGTTCCACCTAAGATAGATGGGGGTAAGCTCTCGGCTTCCCGCGCGCCAAATAAGGATGCAAGAACTGGAGCTCCTCTATCCACAACATCCATCTAAAAGGGATGCGTTTACCCGGGCGTTTCACCAAAAAGAAGCATTCCTCAAATCGGCTCCTTTGCCTCTCTTCTGCGGCAGCAGGCGAAACAAACACAGGGTGGTTTCCGGGCTCCTTTACTAAGTCGAAGATCCCCAGAAGCCTTTTCGCTTCCAAATATGCTTAAAAAAAATCCATCTATCCCCCCACGCCTTTGGAGAAAAGCTCGGGGGATTGACTACTGGTAAACTTAGTGAATTTATCCCCTTCCCTTCTTTAGCTTATGAATTCCGTTTTGTGAAGAGGTTTATAAAAGTGACAAGCTTGGTGGAAAGCTCTGAGGAGGGAAAGCACCTTCCTTTTCCTTCCTTTACCCGTTCTAAAAGAAGCTCAGTTAAGCAGTAAAGAAAGACTGGTATAAGAATTTCTCTTTCAACGCCTTAAGTTAAAACGTGTCATCCGCTTAGATTGGATTAATGATAAAACGTGTATTCAATTCAACCATTCGCATGGTCTCCCCTAAGACTGACCTCTTTTCCAAATGAACCGAACCTCGATAAGAAGGAGATAGTGCTTCAATCGGACATAAGGCAGTGAGCCCTGCGGGTTGGGTTGCGTTGAGATTTTACCCACCAACCCACTTCAACCCGCCTAGTTATAATTTATTTTTTTTACAATTAGGTAGTATTTCATTTGTCATTAAATTTTTGTGAAATCCAATTTTTTTTATCTTAGTACTTCGTAAAGAAATAAAGAATAACAATTTTATCTATGACAAATGTTATCTATATACGTAGACAAATGAGTTTCTGAATAATGTTTGACAAATATTAGTATACCTTTAAGATTGAGAATTAAAAAAATTAAGAGAAATGTGAAATAAAATAAATTAATATTAGAAAAATTCATAAAATATAATTTATTTTTGAATTTTAATTAATTTTTTTTAACTTGTGGGTTGGTGGGTTGACCTGCCAACCCACCATAAAACGAGGTGGGTTCATTTTTTCAGCACATATTTAATGGCGGACCAACATAAATTGCCACCCCCAGTGCTAGCATGTGTAGCATAGCACTACATAACTTTCCTCGCAAATAATGTCGTTCAGATGAATTTCCAATTGAATCAATAAATGCATCTTCATCTTCAGTATCGCGAGTTATGAAGAAGATAATTTTTAACTCATTGTTCAAACCCAAGAGCAGGAATAAGAAGACGCTAATGCGTAGAGGACTAATATAGTTTTAGATATGTGGAGAGCTAATATTTAGTAATTTTGAATGTTTGTTAAAAATTATATTAAGTTTTACTGATTGAAAAAATTATATTAGGTTTTACTTTTCATTGCATTTCATTATTATTGTTTTTATTGACTCTTGTAATTTTGAATGTTTGTTAAAAATTCATATGATTTTTTAAAATATCATAAATCCATATTGTCCTTTCAAATCTTATAAATTCTATTAAAATCCTTCATATTCCAATATTACGAAATCTTGATTGTAAAAACAGTCTTTTAAAAAAGTTTTTAAAATCCCTCCAATTATAAATTGTTTTTTGAAATCTATAAGATTTTTTATCTCAAAAATATATTTTAAAATCATAATTCAATGCACCCCCTAAAGTTTATAGGTACAAACCAAATTGAAATATAAAAGATAAAAAAATTTACTCACAAAGATCACATGAAATAAATTTTCATTAACATCACATGAAATAATTTTCATAAAGATTTCATGAAAATGTTTATAGAAATCACATGAAAATTTCATATATGTATATATACATATACTTTGCACTTTCTTTACTATTTTATTTTTATATATCTTAAATTTTAAATAAATATTTATTATTTGTTAAAATAATATCAAAATTATGTTATTTAAAATTATAAATACTTCCCCCTTTTAAATAATATATCAATTTGTCCCTTTATTTATTTATTTTGATATAATTTGTCCCTTTATTTAAATATATATTAATCTGTCTTTGATTAAAATTTGACGAAACTCTAATACTTGATAAGTCATTTATTTGAATAATTGAATAAGTGTTGATCAAATTTATGATAAGGGCGAATTAATATATAATTAAAAAAATTAAATTATAATTTGTAAAGATAAATAAAATGATAAAATAAATTAAAAATGGGAATAAAATATTCAATCAGCTAAATAAACTCGATGGATTAGGGTCTCAGTTAATGAGCTGTACATTGATATGGGGAAAAACTTTTGATTAATTACGTCATTGAATGAATTCGGACAATAATAGTCATAATGCAAAACTCACCCCATGTAGATGAAAATAAATGCCATACAAAATGTTGCACAGCTGTGTTTTTTAATTTTATTGTTTTTTTCATTTTCATTTTAATTTTTTTCTTTATACATCAAATCATAAATAAAATTGAGAAAATAAGAACTAAATATGATAAAATACTCAACTCGAGTAAGTATCTCATAATCCGATTCTTTCTTTATAAGCCACATTGAAAATAAACATAAATGAATTAAAAATATCAGCTAAACCTCAAAATAATTAGTATATCAAAGGAGCATACCAAAAAAAAATTAGTATATCAAAGGAGAAAATAATAAAGTATAGAATTCATTTTTGACGATAATGGTTTTTTTTAGTTTTCTTTTAATAATTTTTCATATGAAAAATCAGACGAAGGTATTTTTGTCTTTAAAAGTTTCGAAGGATATGCTTTTATATCAATTATCACAGATTTTTTTTAATTAAAAAGGTTAAACCATCGGTCATTTATATTAACTAAATGATTTTTTTTTTTACAAAAGTCTTTAAAACTTTGTTGTTTCGGTGCATTTTTGATATTTTATTTTATAAAATTATGAAGAAAAATAAAATAAAAAACAGCGAATACAAAAACATATCAAAATAATGTAATTTCGTTAAAAATACTTTTTCATTATTTTCAATAATTGAGTGATTAATGAATAAAACAGATGGATCATTTTCCCAAATTAAATAAAATTAAAATATTTGTGTAACCCGATCTTGTAACTGCTGCAAAAGCAAAGGGTTGGGGACTGTTGAGTTTCGCCATCACTAATATAAATAATGCTTCCCTGGAGCTTTCGTCATTTCTCAAACCACCGGCATCGGCGATCACTGTATCTCCGACCACCACCATCTCCGGCAAGTTAGTCTCAACCGAACTTTCTCGCTCTAGGTTATGCTATCTGCTCCTACCATTGCATGGTTCTCATTTTTGAAATTTAGTTAGTTAGAAATTACGATTATCAAAGCCATGCACCGAATTTTACGATTTCGACGATTGATGTTTGTGACAGCTAACTTTGTTTTACCCTTTTTAATTATTTTTATAGAGCACATTTTTTTTTTTTCTGTTGATGCTTTTGGGAGTTCTTATTGAATGGTGACGAGTATTCGCAGTTTTTTTTTTTTTTTTTTTCATTGTCATAAAATGGTAGCAGTGATGTTCGTCTATCCTTTCCTAATGGCAACCCTTTTGTATTATAGTATATAGTTATTATCATCATTATATATTTGTGTTGTGTACTAGTAGTAGTATCTACTCAAGTAGTTGATCAATTATATTTATGTTGCTGATAATGTATTATTGTACTAATTGAAGGTAGATGCTATTTTTTTCTTATTTTTGCAATCTGGACGACTAAGTCTGACTTTGGGGCTTGGTTTGATTCAATTTGTTGCAAATTAAACCTTTTAGTCCTTTATTGGAACATTATGTGCTGTTATCTGTATGGAATATGGAGTATTTGAAATTGAATATAGTCCAGCTGGTGGTAAATTGAAATGGTTATCAGGGCCAAATAGCAATTTAAGGTGTTCCTCTATGGGCGGATATCTATGATATGCTATTCTTATATCAATTTTATTTTTTATTTTTTTGTTTTCAGAATTTATTTTCAGGTACCATGCCTAAGAGAAAGAGAGGACGGCCAAAAGGGTCAAGTGTACAGAAGAAGGTGAAAGAGAGTATAGATTTGGAATTGTTCATTCTTGATAATCCATCAAATGTGTTGGAAGTTGATCCTGGCATTAAACAAGAGCAGGAGACAGGTATATATGGATTGACTTTATCTTATTATCCTGTTTACTTGTATTCCTTCTTTTCACTTTTTAATACTATTTGTTTTTTTGTCATGAGAAGCTTATCCTGACTGTTTTCATATATTGAATTTCCTGTTCAGATACAGATATGCCTAAGAAAAGGGGACGAGGACGTCCAAAAGGGTCAGAGACTCAAAATTGTCAACAGAATGTCCATGGCAACTTGAATAGTCACATTAATCCGTCTAATATTGTGGAAGTTGGTGTTGGGTGTGAAGAGTCAGAAGATCCAGAAATTGTTACAAGTACATCTGGATTATAGTTTCTCTTGTTTACTTCACTGCCTCTTTCCTTCAATAATAATTCTTATTTTATAAGAAAAATCAATGGACCAGTGTTGCTATTTGGAAAATTGTATGCTTTCCATTATAAAACTTATATTTTCCTTGGATAAATGTTAAATGTGATGTCAAGAAGCGTTACACTGTGACAATGCTTTCTTAATAATACACTAAAATAGCTCACTGATGGTTGATACCCAAAAGTGTTATGTTTGTCCTTTATGCTATTATTGGTAAAGATAGGTCGTAACCATTTATTTATTTAATTGGTTGGTACATCAGTAGAGGTAGTGGGATGAGTTACCAGCGTAAGGGGGAGAGCTAGGAAGTAGGAACTATTTTACTTAGTACTTATCTAGTGCTTCTCTCCCTCTCTTCCTCATCCTCCACTTGTTGCCAAAATTGTCATCAATTATTTTTTTCTTGATTTCATTTGGGCAGTTAGATAGAAGGGGGCACATGTATGCTAATAGTTGTCCTATATTCAATATTTTTTTTGTTTTAGATACAGTTAGGATTAATGAAAAGGGAGGAGGACAACCAGGAGGGTCAAGGATGCAGAAATGTCAAGAGAATGCTGATTGCAACTTGGACATTAACAGTAATCTATCAGATATGATGGAAGTCAGTCTTGGATGTAATGAGGAGCAGGAGACTGGTATGGTTATGAGTTACATACTCATTCGTATTTGATAAATATCTTATTTCTTGTTTATTACTAATATCCCCCCACTACCCTCTTTATAAACAATTCTAATTTTATCAGAAAAAGAAATGAATGGATAGTATTGTTATTTGGCAAAAAAATGACATTCTTTTCCCTGGGAAACTTATTTTCCCATGACAAATATGATGTTTATTATACCCAATAGCATGGCATACTTATTAATTGACTTGAATAACTCACTGTAGTTATTATAATTTGCGGGTTGTCATTTATGCTAGATTATGTTATTGGAAAAGATCCCTAGGAACAATTTCAATAAAAATTGTCTTATTTTCTATGGGTTTTGATTTTAGATGCAGTTAACATACTGCTGGAAAGTGGACAAGGGCAACCAAGCGGGTCAATGAATCAGAAGAAACATCAACAGAATGCAGATGGTAAGTTGGATGTTTTCATTTCAATGGTGGCTATTGTTGGCGGCTGTAAGGTTCTTTGACACTTTTTTTTTGTATTTTTTGTTTTTCAGATATAAATGTCACTCCTAAGATAAAGAGAAGAGGAACAACAAGAGGGTGGATGGTTGAAATGAAGCGACAACAGAGTCCAGATGGAAAGTTAGATGTTCTCATTCACCCTACGAGGCTGGTGGCAGTTGGTCCAGGCCGTAAAGATTTTATCACCGATCTTTCTGTTATTGTTCGCCGGAATGCCCGTCTTAATGTGTGCCAGTGGAGGAAGGTTCCACAAAGTACTCGGGATGCAATAGTGCAAAATGTTCTGGTTCGTTCTGGCATTTACATTGACTATGATTAATTTTACTCCTGATTGTTGTAAATGATGTTTGTTTTTGCTGTCCTATAGGGGATAAAGTTTCTTGGGATGGGGCTTATTTTAATTGTCATGAACCAATTATCCGAAAAGTTTAAGCTTTTAATTGAAGACACAAATTGTTTTATTACATCTCTATCATACCCCCTTACCATTCCTTTGTTCTTGAAGCGTGGAAAATGCATAGATCCATCTATCTTGTGTGGAAATTCAACTTTTATTAGAAAAATGGTAGCAAAAATAATTGAACCTTAATCGCTTTTTCGTAGAGACTCTCATACCATGTCATGAACCAACTATTCCAAAAGCTTAAGTTCTTTGGTGAAGACACTTGAATGCTATTATATTATATCTCTAACATTAACTAATCACATAAAGACAGGAAGTCCCTATCCAAAATTAGAACAGCAAAACTATGGTAGTATGCGAGAGGGGTCAGGTTGTGGACGTAAACATAAAAGGGACTGTGATTGTAGGAGAGATGGAGAGGTACCCACATGTGGATTTGGATGGACTGATGGTAGTATGCGAGAAGGGTCAGGTCGTGGAGGTACACCTTAAAGGGGCCGTGATTGTATGTGAGAGGGAGAGGTGCCCACATGTGGATTAGGATGGACCGGTGTATTTGGTGATGGTATACGAGAGGTACAATTATGGGGGTTAAGATTATGATGAATAAGGATAATGCTTTGGTGGGTGAGCGGGAGGATAAGTACAATATAAGTAGTGGTGACAGTGGCAACTCGACTCCTTGTATCAGATAACTTGTTTGCCATTTTTGGTGGCTCCTTCACTACCCATTAGACTCTAGTGGGGGCAATTATACTAAAGGATCAGATGATTGAATTCTCTAATTTCCATTGCAATAGGGAGTTACAATATATACATGTATTGGGTATCTTTTCCCATGATTTTAGGACCCAAATCTGGTACCTAAAATTTGGAATCTCTTGCAATTATTCTGAAATCAGAATAAATTACCGTAACTCCTAATTGATTTTGATCATTTGAAAATTGGCAATGATCTTCACGCCCCGTCAAGCTTTAGTAGATATTAATCATTCCTTGCTTGGAACTTAAGTTGTCAAATGTGACACTTGGTAAAGCCTTTGTGAGAATATCAATAATTTGAAGGCTTGAAGGGGTATAAATTGTGCTACTGGTTTCTTCTTCAATCTTCTCCATGACGAAGTGTTTATCAGTCTCATTGTTATGTGGTTGTGGTTTTCTTTTTTGAGTTGCATTGCCTTTGGCTTACGTTTATTACACCAAAGTTGGTAGGATTCCTGTCCTGTGGTCCATCCTTATTCTAGTCCTTGGAAATTTGTTTGACAGGGTCAGGCTTCTTTTCTTTACCTTGCTTTCAGGTTTCAGGATGGTTGTTGTCATATTAGATTTTGGGAGTACTTGGAGGATAGGGATGCTCCTTGCTCTGTTGCTTGTGCTCCGCGCCTCCGCCTTGTTTGTTGTTTATATTCATTGAATGACCGTAATTGATTAATGCACTTGGATTTTCTTTCTTCCAAGATCTTAACAATAGAGAACTTTGGAGTCTGACTGAATCTCTTCTTGGGTTGCTTGATTCTATCTAGTATTCTCTTGGATTTAGTTTTTGACTTTTTGTTAGCCTTTTTTGGAAGACGAAGGCTCTGTAAAAGAAGTGAAATACTTTATGTGGACAAAGGTTCTCAACAGAAGTGTTGTTTTTATTTTGTGATAGGTATCATATGATTCAGTCATCTAGCAACAGGAATCATTGGATGTATAAAAAATCTCCTCTCTTTTTTTGACTTCTTTCTTAAATAGATTTACAATGCAAGCCATTGTGTGTATGTTTTTCTTTTTTTTTTCCCGATCCAGTGAAATCTTTCCTTAATGCTGTCTCTAAGGAAGCTTCTCTTTTATGTGGAATTCTAGTCCTTCTCACTCTAGCTTCTCTTGTCTAGCACTCTAAGGCCGCTCCATTCGGTCTGTTTTGTCCTGGTGTAACTTCTTTAATCCTTCATTTCTTCTATTCTAATACGTGCGTGTAAAAGGAATTATTTAGTTTGCATTGCTTTCGTTCTTGTGCTCAGAAAAATTGGAGACTTCAAGATACAGGTATTGTACGGAAGGCTATTCTGGATGAAGCAGGCCGTTTATATCGGAATTGGCGCAACATGCTTCATGATTATTACGTATTGTTTGAAACAAAGGAGGAGGCCTTGAAGCACGTACCTGATGATATCAGTGATTCTGATTGGAAAATCTTGGTTGATTATTTTAGTAGCCCTTCTTTTGAGGTAAATTAATTTGTGCTCATTTATCCACAATCCTACTCTGATTTTAATTGAATTTTATAACATGCTTTTTGTCGATCTTCAGATAATTAGTGCAAAAAACAAGGCAAATAGGGCAAAACTGATGACAAATCATACCTGTGGGCAAAGATCCTTTCAAGCAATTAGCTATGATGCAGTGAGATTTCAGTTTAACTAAATGTTTGCTTATAATGTGTCACATCAATTGCACGACATTTTTTGTATACTGTTTAACAAGTATATACATTTAACAGCGGGATCCGGTGACTGGAAAGGAACCCGATTTGCAGACATTATGGCAGATGACACACAAAAAGGCAAATGGGGAATGGGTTGACGAGGCATCTAAGGAAGTCAATGTAATATCATTTTAAGTAAATGCTACAACTTGATATATGACATGAATTTGATGTTCCCTCTTTTTAAATGGTCGATTATTGTGTCAATTCATTGTAGGACAAGGTTGCTGAACAAATCGATGAGATGCTAGTCCAGCCAGAGGATGCTCAGGATGAGATAGAAATAATTGAAGAAGAAATTATTAGTTCTGCTTTCAAGAAAGTGGTTGGGAGGAAATCATATATGCACGGTTTTGGAGCAGGATTGAGTTCATCAAGCTCCAGTAAAAGTCAACAGCTGCATGCTGAATTAGAGGCCCAAAAGAGAGAGACCGAGAATGCTAAGAAAGAATGCAGTGAATTAAGAGCTAAACTTGTTGAGGTTGAGTCTCAACTAGAGGAGGAGCGGCGGAAGCGAGAGGAGACAGAGACTCATCGACTGGATCGACAGAAAGAAATGGATCGTAAAAAAGAAATGCAGGAGATGGTCAACAGTCAGGTTCAGGCTGCTGTCCAGGCTGCATTGTCGCAGTATTGTTTACCAGTAAGTATAAATGATTTATTTGTTGAGTATTCAATTTTATATTCATTAGTTCAATCTTCCTTTAATTTTTAAAGCAATTTTTGATGTGTGAGATTCAAGATTTTTATCAATATTACTTACTAATAGTAATAATGTTCAAAAGTTTTTATGAACACCAAAAAAATTGATTATTGGTATCAAAATACTTGTTTAATGTCTTAATTGGACAGTTATTAGAAATTTTTATAAGTTGTACAGCTAGCACTTGATCGTTCATCTAAGGCACCTTTCCTTCTACCCTATGTTTTATAGTACCAGTTTGCTCGTAATATTAATCCATGTTATTGTGTCCGTTTCTGTTTTTCATATAAAGTCTATATCTTTAAGAATTTGCTCTCATGTGTTCTCTTTTCGTAATTTACAATAATTTGTGTCTTATCAATAGACAACTGAAGCAGAGAGCTCATCAAAGCAGAAAAAAATTGCGGAGCTTGAAGAACAACTCCATGAGGCAGAGGATGTCATAACAGATATTAGATCAGAATTACTTAGGTATCGCATGCGTTAGGGAATTTAAGAATGCAATTACAAATCTTCCAGTACCATATATTACAAGCTTAGTGAAAAGTTTCCTTTTGGTTATGTTTATGGATTATAAACCTGTTTCTAGTACATATGCTAATTGCTAAAATGACTATTTTATTTATGGCTATGCCTTCGTTATAAGCATCTTTGTTTTTACTTAAATGTTGATTTAGCAAGGTTGGGAAAAATATGAGGTGATCTCTTCTGTTATGTGTTATCAGATTTATCCTCTCTTATCTTGAGTGTAGACTTGACCCACTTGTGGGTTACTGTTCCTGTGATGCTGTTGATACGCCCGTGTATACAGAAAATAGAAACATGGTAATGTGTATAAGGATTAAACAATTAAACAAACTGAATAACCCAACATGCTGTCATTTGGTCCGCATCATACATGTCTTGGTCTTTTGTGTTAATTTCCATTAGAATCCAATAAGAATTAGTACTTTATTTGTCATTCTGTTGTTGAGTTTGGATAAAAGGGATATTTGAAAGGGAAATGCATTTTTGGAGATCATTTTATACAACGTTAGGATTTTTGATAAAAAAATTAGTATTTCAAAGATACAAGTGTATTTACTTTGGTCTTAAAAAAATATTTTGTCATTGAATTTAATTTTTCAATAAAGCAAGCGTGATCGCTTAGCATCTCCAGGTTTTAAGGTGATATAGATCATGCCAAAAGATTTTATAAGAAGCTCTAAGCAAATATAGAAATGAAAATATATCATAAAGCTGAAAACACAACTCGATGCCATATGACATGCAGAGCCTTAAAACAAAAAAAAAAAAATTACTGGAAATAGACATGCAATAGTTCTTGCCAACACTTCCTAACATTGTTAACTCAGTTTGAAGGCTTCCTTCTAAGTAGGTCACTCACATTAAGCGTATCAATCTTAGCAGCAAGTATGAAGTCATTTTCTGTTAGCCCCCCTGCATGAACATTAATCAGTTGGATGAATGCCCGCATATGTTCTACTAATTATTAGGCAGTTAATTCAACAAAAATGATATTAAAAAAAAAAAACAAAGGAAACATGCTTGGTTGAGCCAGCAAATCACTGTTAATCTTGAAATATTGTATGATTAACATATGACATTATTAAAGTGTCATAGCTTTGAGTGATCTAACCAGAATGGCAGTGACAAACATTTACTAACTTTTATCTATACGAATTTCAATTTTCTACAAATGATATGTAGTAACTATAAATTTATGGTGTATTTGGTACAAGTTCAATTACAAAAGACAAGGAAGAAGAAATACAAACAAAACCAGGTATATCTTTTTTTTTGGATAAACTATATGTATTCTCCACGAGATGTCCGAGAATATGGTGAGATTAGCTCTCAAAGGATATTTTTTGCATTCACAAACTAGGTAAACCAGTATGTACCACTTGAACCAAGACTTTCCTTAAGCAGAATCAAGTATGTACCACTTGAACCAATCCACTTAAATAAACCAGGTATATCCTAATTAGCAAGAGAAAAAAAAGGTGTATTCAGGAAGAAGACTGCATCCTAATGAAAGCTTTTTACCTAAGACTAAGACATGAAAATGCATAGCTTTGGACCAAGAAAAATGCATACATGATTCAACTAACTTACCTGTTTATCTTAGTGAACTATAAATCACAAAAAGGAGACAAATGTAAATATACAAAATATAATTTCTTTCCCCTTAGTTTTCCTCCTATCAACCTCATTTTTACATGTTCTGCTCATCACTAAACATTCCTCATGGTAATGGATAACAAGTGGAAATGAAGCAACCAAACTATTCTTAAGGTCGGGGTTTCATTGAGAAATAAAAGGTAATCTTTCTAAAATCCATTGAGATTCAATTTTTTCTTTCTCTCCAAAGACGGAGAAACTATAATTCATCTGTTTTGCAGAGAAGCAAGAGATTAAAATCAGAATCCATGATGTAATCTGCATGCTAGGCTCCAATTCTTTTAAATGAAATAAAATCTTTTTAATTTCATTAAAAGCCATTTGTGCCTAATACATAGTATTTTGATAATCTTTCTCATCTACCAGCTTTTCATTCAAAAACTTGAATAATGAATGATTCATACCAACAGCATGAGTCCAAATCTCAATAGTAACATTATTCCAGCCAACAAGGTGAAGATCAGGATGATGCCCTGCATTATAAAAATATTGGTTACATTTTGAAAGTACCCTTTAGAATGAGACAAGTAGCAAGATGAAAACAGAACACAATACCTTCATTTTCAGCAAGAACAGCTACTTTCTTGAAAAATTCCAATCCTAGGGTGAAAGTCTTTACTGTCCATGATCGCCTCAGCTTCAATACACCATCTTCATTTACCAAATTCCATTCATCAACCTAACCACCCCATGTCAATATCCAATACAATGAGACTTAAAAAAAACAAAAAAAACTTGAATTGACTGAAATAAACCTGTGGCATTAGAGTGTGTGCTGAATCCTCATTCATGGGTCGCAATTCCTTCAGATTGCATGGCACACACTTCTTATCTGTCAGACCTAATAAGATAGAAATAGAAATGGAAATGGAAACTTTATTTGACAACAAGAACTATTCAGTGTGTTATAAAACTTGCTTCTTAAGTGAAGAAGTAAGAAGCAAAGTGATGAGAAAAATAGTTTAAGATTAGACATGATCTAACAATTTGTGTATATGCAACTGAGTTTTGCAACATCAACAATTGCTATTTGATTCAATAGTATCTGTCTCGTTCACCACAGTTTTGTGCGTAACCCACCTTTGCTAATGCAAAATGTTCTAAATTTGAGACCCTTTATAGTGGACACCTTCAATGAAACTCCAAAACTGAGCTCTCATGTATCTCAATGACATGATGAGTACAGGAACTACAAGCAAGTTAAAGTTTGTTTTCAAAGAATAAAAAAATCATGCTAAAACCATAAAAAGTGAAACTCAATATATATAAACAAAGGGGTAAAGCATAAAAATATGAAATAACATAACTACTAGAACACAAGCTAGTACAACACATTCTTGATTCAAAAAGCATAGCACAAAACACACACACACACACAAACGAAAAGACATAAATTTAAGGCATGAACCCACGTGAAGGCTTGACCTCCATGTTTGGGACAGGAACGGTGATTACAGTTAGAGAGAGAGAGAGAGAGAGAATATGCTTTATTAGATAAATGATGCGAAGGTGGTGCCGTTTATCTTTGCTGATCAACAAACTGCTGATCCTTTTTCCGGGGAACGGGACACGTGGTGCCCTTTGCTTGCACATGATTTTTTAAAATTAATTTTATTTAAAAACGAGATTAACAAGTGATTTATGTTTACTTTATTTATTTATTTAATCAGTGATTTTTATAAAAGTAATATAATTTAAATTTGATGACATATATTACATACGAAAAAAATAGGGTGACTTTAATTATAATTAAATGGTAAAAATTGAAAAATTATGTTTGTATATGAGATTAAGGTTTTCTGAAGTTTATTTTGTTTTTTTGGTAAGCTTCTAAAGTTTATTTTAAACTGTACAGAATCATGATTGTTAAAAAATTAATTTTACATGATATATTAAAAACAAACATGTTAGAGAAAGATTTAAGACATAAGATTCTTTTTTTGGAAAATATTTCATCGGTTAATCGCTTCGCGACTAATTCAATTCGAGGCGAATCCCAGGATTAAGATTTTAAATTCTTCCCAAAAAAAATACTCGAGAGGATCAAATGTATAAGATTTCTTGTCTATAATTATGTGTATACGTTATATTATTCAATTAAAAAATATGAGCAGTATTTCTCATTTTAAATAATATAATTTTATGTAATTTTAAGTGAAACAATTATGTTTTGAGGTATATTTGGTAGTTTTTTATTTTATTTTTTCATATAATTGAGAAAAAAGAGAAAGAAAGAATTTTATGCAAGAGAGAAAAAATAAAATCAGCAAAATATAATTGTTTTACTTAAAATAATACAAATTTGTGTTATTTAAAATGATAATTTTTTTTCATAAAAATATATTATAAACTTGGAATGAAATAGTTAGTCATGGATATATGGGTCTTAGAGAGCTCGAATTGGTGAAGATAAAATAATGAAAAGTAATAGAATTATTTATACTCATGTAAATCTTACCTGTAATAACATAAAGTAAAAATTATTGATTTGATTTTGATACAACGATAATAAAATTAATAATAAAAGATGGTAAAAAAAATGATAATAAGTATAATCTATTCTTCAATGGGAGAGATTATACTTATTATTATTTTTTATCACATTTTATTATTGTTTGATCAAAATTAAATTAACAATTGTAAAATAAGATCAAGTAAAATCTATTGGTTTAATTTTGATTCAATAATAATAAAGTTAATAATAATAACGGATGATAAGAAAAAATGTTATTAACTATAATATATTCAATAATTAACATATTCAATAATCCATGAACAAGAAGCAAACATTTTTTTTTTTCATTTAAATTTTTTGAAAGAGAAAGGAAGGAAACATTAAAATAAAGAAAAGCATGGCGAAAAGAAAAGCATAAAAAGAAAAGGGAGGGAGAGAGACTAGGGTGAAGTTAACTTAAAGTCGAAAACCCTTGCCAAGAGTTTGAGTGAGTGAAAGCCCTAGACACTTCGCAATGGCTCTTGCTGCTCAAACCCCTGACATTTCCGGCGAGCGACAATCTGGCCAAGACGTTCGAACCCAAAATGGTTCTCTCTCTCTCTCTCTCTCTCTCTCTCTCTCTCTCTTCCATGACTATAACCATTTCTAACGCTTTCTCTCTAAAATGCAGTTGTGGCGTGCCAAGCAGTTGCTAACATTGTCAAAACCTCCTTAGGTCCTGTTGGCCTTGACAAGGTACTCTCTCTCGCTAGATCTGATCTGAACTAAAGTATCCAAGCGATGCTGCGTCGCATTGATTTTTATTCATTTTATTGTTTCAGATGCTTGTTGATGATATTGGTGATGTCACTATTACCAACGATGGTGCTACCATACTCAAGATGTTGGAAGTAGAGCATCCCGCTGCTAAGGTCAATGAAATTTCAATCCGTTCTCACACCGCATTTTCGTTCTTCTTCGTATCGGTATTATTCAATTTTGTTTGTGGTTTGGTTTGGTTTTCAATTTCCATTCAGGTTTTGGTGGAACTTGCTGAGCTTCAAGACAGAGAAGTTGGAGATGGAACTACTTCAGTTGTCATTGTAGCTGCGGAACTTCTCAAAGTAACTGCAACGCTTTCTTTCTTTCTATCACAGTATCATTTTGTAAGCATTTTATCTCATACTCATATTTAACATTTTCGTGCAGAGAGCAAATGACCTCGTGAGGAATAAGATTCATCCAACCTCAATTATCAGTGGATATAGAGTAAGTATTTATTTTTATTGTATCCTTTTTCAATTTGCTTTGTCTTCTCCTTGTAATTAATGTATGTATTACCTTTGATGTGCCTACATTTACGAAAATTTGATATGTTGGTTTATGAATGGGAAATTTCCGTAGAAACCTTAGTTTTAACTTCTCTTGTGTTGATTATTCTGGATAGCTTGCTATGCGGGAAGCTTGTAAATATGTAGAAGAAAAACTATCTGTCAAGGTAAGATCTCCTTAACAATGCTTTTTTATATTTTATGTATATATGTATTTCTTAGGCTTAAGTTATCAATGTAGGGATTCCCTGTCTTATTTTCTGAGAAGCGTGCTATGGATGGATTGGTCATTGATTTGTCTGAAGATTAATGAACTTGCTCATTGCTAGTTGTTGAATATCTTATTTGTTACTTAGTGAGATTATTTTCTTGACTTGTAGGTTGAAAAGCTTGGGAAGGATTCACTAATTAACTGTGCCAAGACCAGCATGTCATCAAAGTTGATAGCTGGTGATAGTGACTTCTTTGCCAATTTGGTATGTTTGTGATTGCAATGACTTTATATTGAATGTTGGGAGTTTATAGTTTACACCACTTGGAATTGATGCCCACCATATTCTGCTAATTCTAGTTTGTTCATATCCAATTGGATAAAGCTTACATATATTGCTCTGTTCCATGTCTCAATTTTCACTTGGATTCGTAGTTGAAAAGTAGTTGAAAACTTGATATCGACAAAGCTCTATGCTTTTCCTCATCGTAGTTGAACTCAGATTTTATTTTTTTATTTACCACATAGCTTTCTTTCTAGATTTTATGCTTACTTTCTGCTTTAGAGGAATGGAATATTTTATTGGTATAATCACCGTTCTACTTTTTATGTGTTGAATGTGTAAAGTTGTTTATTTGTATCAATGAAATACCTTTTGAGAGATATTTAAATGAACCTATTAACAATTTTTCTTGGGTCTAATACTACTATAGTTATGTTTCATATCATACTCAAACGGATGAAATGACCATATGCTTGCTATTATGATTCAAAATTTTCACGAATATGTTCTATGAAGTGGTTCAAATATTCGAAATTTTCACGAATTATTCTTGGGTCTAAATATTCGATGTTCAAACCTTTGTGGCAAAACTAATTTATGCTGATACTTTTTTTTTGGTTCCCTCTTTTGTAATTTGAGCTGATAGTGTAATTCTTGATCTTAATTTGCTTGGCAGTAAGAGTGTTATCACATGAAATTATGGAATAAAAAATTCCTTCTTGATTTTAGCAGATTGTTTAAAATCAATCCAAATGATGATGTTGTTAGGAGTTAGGACAAATTTGAAGCAATTTTTCAATCGGAGGGCTTCATTCAAAATTAGAAGTTCAGAATCTTGATTGAAAGTCATGAATGTTTTGTAATTCATTTTAACATTGTTTGATTGAAGCTTCTTCTTTTTTTGGGTTATTGGATAATGGATTCTTTGATCTTATGTGCTGAATTCAATGCTCACACAGTTTAATTTTTGGGGTTATGGCCTGTGTAATTGTGAAAAGCAGTTTCGGTTCTCAATATGTAGGCGTTTTGTTCTGAAGTTATTGATTGGTTATGAACAGGATGGTAACTACTGTTTTTCATTGAGTTTTTTGACTGTTGGTATAAGTAAAGTACTCATTATTTTTTCTATTGTGACATTGACTTTTGTGTGTAATTTACACAGGTTGTAGATGCAGTGCAATCTGTAAAGATGACCAATGCCAGGGGTGAGGTTAAATACCCAATCAAGGTTGGTACTAGGATTCCTTTGATCTTATTTCTCATATTCCTGGATGAATGTTAGAGAATAAATAAACCATTAAAAAGGCCCTAAGGTGTTGGGTTGAAGTGGTTTTTTACATGGTATCAGAGCTTTAGTGATCACAAGGTCACGAGTTCGATTCTCACCACCCCCACTTGTAGAATTAAATAAGCATAAGGTAAACCAAAATTTTTTTTGGGCCTATGCAATATCCACACTTCAAGCCCAAAAGGCTCTTGCGTAAGGGGGTGTGTTAGAGAATAATATAAACCATTAAAAAAGCCCTCATCCAACACCTTAAGGTTTTGGGTGGAAGTGGTTCTTTGATGAAAGATGTCATTTTTGAGAAATATGTTTAACATCTGTCATATGTAAGTCTTGCTTCTTACTTCTTTTAATGGTCATAGACTTTCAATGGTTTTAATTCTCTGTTTCTTTTGCATCCCATGTTCCAGGGAATCAATATATTGAAAGCACATGGAAAAAGTGCAAGAGACAGCTTTCTGTTGAATGGTTATGCTTTAAATACTGGCCGTGCTGCTCAAGGAATGCCTCTTAGGGTGTCCCCTGCAAAAATTGCCTGTCTTGATTTCAATCTTCAAAAGACAAAAATGCAATTGGGCATTCAAGTATTAGTCACTGATCCCAGGGAACTTGAGAAAATTCGTCAAAGGTACTGTCAATATGATCATTTGGCTTCTATATTACTAACATGCCTTCCTAGATCCACTTTCCTTAAATATAATCAGAAAAATTCTATCAATAGAAATATTCTGGATGAGAGGCATGAAATCAATCCAAAGCTCTGTTGGGTGAAAGAAATAGGTGTGCAGTCCCTTTGACTGGGCAGATGTTGATTTTTTCAGATTTGTATTTAATAATATAGTTCATGCACAGGCATCATTGTGTAGAAATTAGGGCATTGTCAATGTTTCCTTAAATACATTGCAGATTTTGATTTTTCCAGATTTGTATTTAATAATCTCCCCCCCCCCCCCCATTTTCTCATAATAGT